GAGGGGCCATTACTCCCAATACTCCCTCAAAACTGCAAACTGCTATCTTGAATAACTGATTGAATTAAAATTCAGTCCTAGAATACAAACAAGAAAATGTATGTACGTGTTTATAAAGCATATTTTGCTTCAGAGTAGAACAAATATTTGAGTGGGTTTTTCCCCACTTCGTTCCTCTACAGTGCTTGTTAATGTCTGAACTGATAAGTTATGTTGAACTTTTGAATGTTAATATTCTCCACAGCTGTTTTTACATATTTCTATGTAATCAATGTTAATCTGGAGAAAATTAATGTGTTTTGGTGCTGCATCGCCATCCATGGTTTAGAGGTGCTGTAAGAACCGATGGTGATGAAACTCGTTTGTTTTTTTCTTTACGTAGAAATTATTTGGAACTTTGTGGCCTGAAGAATAATCAGGCAACATGGCAAAAGATAACATTTTATTCAAATCTCTAGAGTGGGTTGTAAAATAATCTGAATATCAGTGTCTTCTAGTTGATGAGTTTAAGTCATTTCATGCTACTTAAATTTTGTTGGTTTTAGAACATTCTTTATTACTAGCTGGCCTCATTTGCGTTTACTTTTACCAAATTTGGTACTTACAGTTTACAATAATTTCTTTTAGTTCCTCTTGTGTTCGTTCCTTCCCTTCTTATTCTCTTATTCTTGAGCTCTCTCCCTCCCCTCCAGTGCAAACCAGTTGGGGTGGGGGGAGAAGAAGGGGAAACTCCAAATCCCTGTGAATTGAGTTTTCCGCTGCGCATGCCAGAGGCACGGCTGTGCTTCTGTTTCTTTTGCTTCTTTCATACTATGCTGATTGTTTGTACTGAGTCTTTAGACGGCAATAAAAGGTAAATAAACAAAGATGCCATTCTTTTGTGTAAAAATGGAGCTGCTTTAATGAAACACTTTTTGAAACAGAAACATTCATCTCTGATTAAAACTATACAAAACACTGTAAGGCTTTTTGAACTCATTGCTAGTTGAGTCATATCTACAGCCTTTCCCTCAGTAATTAGTTCCCTTTATTTCACTACATTCCCACCTCTTATGTTCTCTGTCATGAAAAGAACCCGAGCTTTTTCAACAGAGTTGTTGGACAATTTAATTAAAACTAAACTGGAACACTGAGGAAAAGCCAGCGCTATTCAAGGTGGTGTTTTTTTCCACTGTTCACCTGTGCACCAAAAAAAAAGCCATGTGAGTCATTTACAAATTAAAATCAAATGTTGTACCAGGCTATATTTCTGCTCTAACTTTTCATATAACACATACACAATTTCAAGAAGTAAAACCAAAATGTTGTACAAATAATCTGCTGTTGATAATATACCAATGTCACTACAGTAAGAATCTTGATAGGAAGATAACGTGTTCAGAAGGCCACGGTGTAGTCAATCCTTTTCATAATCTGTATCAGTGCTGAATCTCAGGGAAAGTGAAAACTCATTCTGAGAGGGGTTTTTTTAAAGCTTTTCTTGCAATATTTACTGATATGAGGAAAGTCTTTGTACTGTCCATTGTGGTAAGTTTGGCCAGATTTGTGCTCAGACAGAAATCAAACTGGACAGCTGTTCATTTGGAAACGCCTCATATGGGCTATTTTATGGCAGGTCAAATATAAAATGTTTTGAAAACTAGTTATGGCATACAATTCAAATTACAGTTTGTTCATAAATAGCGACAAAAACATTTTTACAAGGTCCATAGAGAAGGCAATCTGAGTTGGGCATTGGGTTAGTTGAGTTTAAGGTCTACTTACTCTAAACCTGAAATAGAAGCAGAACTATGATGAGTTAAATAGCAAAAAATATCTGTCTGCTGCAGAGTGCTATTCAAAAGACACCACGACATCAAAATGGATTGGGAAACAAATGCTACTCTGTGCGTGTATTGAATAGTCATTAGCCATGTGCTTGATTCAGGCTTTGTATGGTTATTAAGTGCTTGCAGGCTTGTCTAGGCATCATTTTGGTTTCGCATGAGGAAGTAAGGTCTGGTTTTTAAGCCTTTCTGTAAATTAGTAATATAAATGCACAGCACTGGCAATATTGTCTCTGGAATATCACTTCCTTTTCAGAAGAAATGTGTCCTTTTTATTTCATCTGTGTAAGCAGCCATGATAAGTCTGTGGTCGAAACTAGTGTCAGGTAATTTTTTGTTTGTCTTTAGCAAAGCAGAAAATGAGCTAGGCTTTACATTTGGCAGCACAAATACATGGTGTTTTAATTTAGGGTTGTAAACTAAAACAGCAAACTGATTTACAGTAAATAAAAAGTGAAATGTTGGCTATTAAGGGACATATATTCTTCAAAGGAATAATGGCATGCCTTCCTGTTGGCCTCGGACCATTTGCACTTCATTGGAATCGTGTAAGTTTAGGCACAAGAAAAATAAATACCATTTATTCTCCCAGGAGTGTTTTCAAAGCTGCCTGCCATGGTCCTTTAAATATGGATTCATGCGATTTTCAAAACAAACATTAGAAACACAAACAGAATATGTCACAAAAATTAGTTATAGAGGATTTTTTGCCAGCATATGTTATGTATCTAATACAATGCATCTTAGGTGTGACAAGAGCTGTGGGACATGCTGAATTTTTTGTCCGGACTACTACTACATTGAATTGAATGGCACTGGAGATGCCTATACTCTTAAAGATGTGCATATCTATTTGGGAAACTGGGCCCTTGACCCAATAGACAAGAACAGCTCTGGTCCTTACTGAGCCCAAAGGCTGGCAATGTCACCCTGTGGTGAGCAGGGCTGAGTAAAGTGTTTGTGTGGAACCTTTAAATAGCCTGGTCCAGCCAAACGAGCACAGAACTGTCTAAATCTCTGCCCGTTGTTCTAAATTCTCATCTGAGGAATACAAGAGAGTAATTTCTAGGCAAAATTGGAATGAAGTGAAGAAAACCCAAGGAAGAAAATTGGATAGAGTAAAATATGTCCGAAATGCCAGCTACTGCAGATTCATATCCTGCATGGCTGCTCTCATCCAGGTTCTAGAACACAAGCAGTTGGACAACTGTCCAAACTTTGTCATTTACTGAAATAATTTTTACCACTGTGAACTGAGTTACTTTTGTAAACTTAAGTATGTGTGAGATTAGTTACTAACTACAGTAATCAATTCATAAAAGTTAAGACACTAAAAAACTAAAAGGTAAAATATGTTGTAACACTTGTCTACTAAAAGTTCGTGAGTTACCAAACTCATTATGACAGAGTACAATGGGCATTCATGAACGAAAAATCATTAATGTAAATTAAACTATTAAATACGGTCAAATATTTTTAGAAATCACTTGCAGTGCAAGTTACTCAATGTCTATTGCATGTATTTTTACATGAGTGTCTAAAGCCAAAGCTTTTAATGGTGCTGAAACACAATGACCTAGTCACAAGTGTAGAGAGGCGTTACCAAGTACTGCAGCTGCCATGATGACGGATATGGGTTCTGAAAATATAAGCAGTTGTAGCCTGTCATTATTAGTGTTGGTTCCATAAAATGCTGAAGCATTAGAACATCTGGCTTTTCTTTCAACAAGGTATAGCTGGTCCGCAGGAGTATTGAATGGGGTAAGAGGAGTTGGATTATCGAGGCTGGTTTTTAACTTAGTCATCAATGGAAGTTTCAGGGCTGTAGATAAGGAAAGCTATGACGTAAGTGACATACAGAACATGGAGCACAGATCGTTTAATCACAGAAGTGTTCAACTTGTTTCAACAGATAAGAAAAAAAAGGGATTTTTTAATCTTTTTTTTTTTATAGCACATTGTTATAATACTTTCCATATACACTGTACAATAATTCTTTTGTAACAGAAGACTTTCATACAGAAAAAAATAGTTCTATAAAACATTCCGTAGTTCATCAGAAAGATTTGGAGTAAAACATGGGGCTCTCTTAATCTGTAGGTTAACAGAAATAGGGGGCAAAATTCTGGCACTTCTTTTGTTCTTGTACATTCATATAGGTAAAAGGGAAACTGGTTATGCCTTAGAGGACACAGAGGAGCCTTCTTGGCTTGGGCCTCTCTGTACAAAGCATAACTTTACAGAGTAGCTACCTCCAGGAGATTTGTTCCTCATCTTGCGCGAGCGCCAATTCCCCAGACTCGTACTTTAGCTGTACGGGACAATTTGTTTTTGTTTCTAAGCAACAGATAGATTAGACGATGGCAGTTCGAAGCTGTGAGCGTGCAATGTCGGATGGAATTAGACTCCATGGCTTTTTAGGAAGTGACCATTTTAAGGTTCACTGATATCAATGAACTCTTTCTCTGGGGGAGGACCCCCTCGGTACCAGCTGCAAGTGCCATCGCTCCTCTTGATGCAGGCATAATGCTTGGCTTGGTGCCCATATAGCTTTCTTTCGATCAGCCAGTCTGTCCAGAGGCACTCGTTGGGTGTCGTGATGGAACAGGGCACCATGTAGCAGGTGGTGATCTAAATGTGAAATAGGACATTAATTCAGTACATTGCAGGTTTCTTTAAAATTGTATTTATTCTCAAATAGCATAAAATGTATGCTGCATAAAAAGCCAGTCTCCACCAGTGAAAACAGCCTGTAAGGCAGGCTCCACCACAAGACAGTGTTTTGTTCTGTACTTACTTTGCAGCCACAGCCCATTTGATATCTCTGATTCAGACTCTTCTTTTGGGACAAGGATAAATCATCCCATGGTTCAATGTAGTTGCAGAGGTGGATGAGGACTTTACCATCATTTAAAATTTGGCCTATGCATAAGAAAAATAAGGCAAACAAATAAAACTGTTTTCTAAATACTGAAATAGATTGCAAGAATACCTGAATTTTTTAACTAATTGCGCCAAATTAGTCACATTTCACACTTTTTTCAATGAATGTAGTTGTAACTGAGAGAACTATTCTGCTGACAGCATGCTGAAAATATGTAAAAGATTGAAGAAGGCTATTTTTCAAAAGCAGCTGATAATCTGCCAGCCAGGGATGGATGAAAATGCAGTAGTATGTTAAACTAAATTTCAGGACTCTCTAGAAAAGTCCGTGCTTAGAACCTCACATCTGTATACAGATAGGCATGTGTTGTGTCAATAAATATGTTTGCATTCCTGGGAAAATCAGTACTCTTGCTTTTAAGCAAATAATAATGGCATACTTCCTATTTACTAATTACATAGTTACTGACTTCAATTTCCTATGAAACTGCTTTAAAATCTTTGGATGAAGGATGCAAAACATGTAAGATTGCAGAGTAAGTACAGCTTTACCCAATTTGTACATTTTTTTGTGTTTGCATTATTTAGATAGCACATAAATATGCTATTTTTTAACAAGGGCTGGCGTATTTTTGTGACATCAATCTAAGCAGTTACTTCTGGTTTTATTAGGAGCGTTAGTTTTGTTATATTTTACCTGTCAAAAGATACTGTTTTTTGTTGTTAGCTTCTAGTTTCACTCCACAGAGTGACGAATCAAAAGGGGTGTAGACATACTGGACATCCTTGAGCTTTTCAAATCCTTTAAACATCTGAAAATGATCAGAAACAGAAGTCAGTAGTAGAAATCAAACACGAAAAAACAGCAAATAACAGAAGTATATGGTGCAGCTCTTTAAAAAAGGCTCTGAAGTCTGAACGTACATGAGCAAATACCAACAATGAGACCCCTTCTCTACACTAAGGGAAATGTATCCTTTATTTTTAGAAGGAAATTAGGTCTTCCTTTTTAAAAAAATATAGGTTTTAAAATGTGCTTTTTCAGTGTTTTTAATGGCTCTTTAATGCTTTCTCTTCAGGTTATATTCTACTGGCATCTTCCATTTAAGGGGTAATGCAGGCACAGCATTCATCTCAAACAAGGTGCTGCAGAAATTTCTCAGTATATGAATACGGGAAATTTCATCTTGATCAGCGTAATGGTGTGTATCTTCAAGGACATGAAACACTCTCAGAAGCTGAACATTGTTTATATTCTCTCATTAAAGCAAGCTGGTTTTCCACATCCAGAATTTTGCCGCAATTGACCTTCTCAAATAACTGTTGGAAAAATTGCTGGGATCCAGCTCTTAGAATTTACAGGCTGCAGCACCAGAGTGGGTAGGTTCAGAATCAAAGCCTGAGCTGTGCTCAGATGGGCTGCGCCATTTGCAGCACAAATTGCCAACGCGGAAAATAATTCCTAAGGCAAGCCATTAAAAGATCAAAACAAATTAAGTAGTGTCCAAATGTGAGAAGGAACCATAAGATGCGAATCCACCTTGGGATGCCTGTCATCACCTAATATGACATAACCGAAGCCCTGGCACTTCGGGGGCCCCGCGCAGTGACAGCATGCTGTGTGATGACAGCTGTGGACAATGGCAGGGCTTATGGCTCCCGGGGGCGAGCTCTCCCCGCTGCAGCTGGCGTCACTGGAAAATGTGCTCATGTTACTCAAGATCTCTCAGGAGATTTTAATAGTACAAGGCATTAGAAAACACACTGTAGTATGTTGATTTTTCTGAAGCCTTATTGATGGAATAAAAAAAAAGCCAAAGTTGTTGTCATTGGGCTTCTTATCCAAAAATATTAGCTGTGAATGTGAAATACTTAGTAGAAAAAACAAACACACCAAACCAAAACCCAAACCGGTGTCCGGTACAAAGCAGCAGTGAAAAGTATAGAAGACATGTATCATGATGATGAAAATGTGTCTAATGTTATTAGATAAAAGTAGCCTGGTATGTCAGCCCAGTGTAACAGTTCTCAGCAAGATGGGCACAGGAGGAGGCGGGCGCAGGCTGCCGGGTGCTGTGGGGATCTCCCCAGGTGCTGACCCAGCACCTGGGGGAGCCCCAGGCCCTCCCCACTCCTGCGAGAGCCGCTGGATCCCTGCTGCCTCTGAAACTTGGATCCCGGCTTCTGCTGCGCTTCAGTCTGCTTAACGCAGGGAGCGGGTACTAGATGCAGATGGCTGGTACGCAGTAGCTAGGCAAACAAGCATCCTCTGATCTGAGTTCTCCCTGCATTCAGGAACCTTTGCTTGGGCACAGCTTTTCTTTTAATAGCTCATCATGGGATCTAAATTAAATTAAGAGGCATGAAGCAGACAGCACAAATTGACTTGGCTATCAAAAGAGAGAGAAATATCCATGGCCACTTATAATGGAGATCTAGTTAATGTTTATTTGAGTTTGGTGTCTGGTTTTTAGGTTGTTGTTTTTTTTTAAAATTACAGTCTGACCTATCTCAGATTTTGATCTAGATATTTGTTAAAGCTTTTCTTAATGTTGTAGTTCTTTAACTCAGTAAATCATATTTGAACTTCTCAATCTGTCGAGGAGTAAGATGTCTGGATTTGGTTCTGCGCTGTGGTATGTGCCATTTACATCTGAGGTTCTGGTAGGACTTCATTGAGGTGGGAAAGCAGGGTGAGGAACTGGGAGAACAGGGGGACGTGAGCCCAATACTGCAGTCTATACTGACACTGTCCCTGTCCTTCTGGGGTGTGTATCCCAGACCAGTACGTGGCTAGTGCTTTTTCTCAAGACTATCTGTAGTACTTTCAGTGGCTCGGGCACGTTCCTGTTATAATAATGACATTCTTCTGTCTTCTTCATTCTCCAAGATTCTTCAGCTGTATCATAGCTTTACAGAGTGATGAGTATCCAGCTTTAAAGCTGGGTGCATCATTGTGAAGTGTGGATATTGCTGTGTTTAGCTTAAATACCTCCTCATGTTCCCCTGTGAGGGGCTCCACCTTCTTCTCAGAGAAGGCTGATTCTTTCTGTGGGTTTCCATCTGTGCAGCTTGTGTGGAAAATACTTAGCAGTTTTGCTAATAGTAGTTTAATTTGGTGAAATGTGCAGATTTCATGTATGACAGTAATACCTTGGCCCTTACTTCAGTACTCTGATAATAGAGGACAAAGTGTCACACAAGCTAGTGGCACTGTTTTGATATTTAGCTGGCTCCTCACAGTAAGCATGATGACCGAGTCAATAACAATAATATGAAGATTAATATTCAATTACATGTGAATCACATATTTTCTTCTCTCTTTAGTATCATGCTGTAAGTATTGCAATAAAACAGTAGCAGAAAAAATCCATGGCTTCTTAACATGCCAACATATATAAAATGAATAAACCTCATCATTGTTCTTTTATTTCTGAAAATGAATAACAAAATCATATTTAATATTTCTGTCCAAAAATACCAATGTTTGAGTGCTAAGAACTGAATTTAAAATAACAGAAATATAATTTCTGTAACAGGAGTGGTGTAAACCAGCCACACTGATGTTACGTGTCAAACAGCCCAGAGAGCGACATAAGAGAGACACAGCAGCATTTCGCTGCACTGCCAGCTGCAGTGAGGTGTAACCTCTCTAGGTTCTCTGTTTCTTTTCCAAGAGGGGGACGTATTGCTGAGGGATGTGTTAATGTGTGTGTGGCTTAAACCAAAACCAGTACTGAGTTGATAATTATTATCTTGGTAGTTCTTACAGCTCCAAAGAGATGATGAGAGCGTCTATTCTTACTTTCTGTGTTATTTAAAGTGAATTCTCATATCCCCCAATCCTGTAAATGTTTACGCACAGGGTGAGCAGAAACACCTGGGCGGTGCCACTGACATTCAAAGGACTGTTTGGTTTATCAGAACTGCAGGTCAGCAAATTGGCGATGTGAGAAATGGGTCTGTAAGCACTCGAGAAGAGAGACTGTAATAGCAAAAACAGAATATTCTGACATTTGACTGTTCATTTAGATTCCTTCAAATGTTATCATCTGAAGGAAAAGGTAAGAAATAGTGTTATCAAGTTCTTGCTCTGGTCAGCCACGTCCTCAGTTATCCAGGACACTGAGATGCACAAATGGGTCTCTGACGGCTGAGGCTCAGTCTGACTGTCCCTGACAAGCTGTTGCTGTGAGGTTGTTCATTGGCCTGTGAATTACTCCACTCCTTTGGGGTGGCCAAATCTGGCCGATTGAATATAACATTATATTATTTTAATTGATTATTTGGCACTTACCAAATGTTGACAAGCATGAGCTATTTACAGTTCCTGGCTCTCTTTACTCATGTTACTGGATGCGGTCCTTACAGCGTTACCCAAAACACTTCCCTATTAACCTGCTGTTCATTTACATGGGAATATTTCTCAGTAATTTTTTAGTATACCCCATCCTGTTTAATTGCTACCCGCACGCCACCTCTGAATTATATGCTCACAATATACCAGGTTACCTCCCTCTTTTTCAGTCCCTGTATGATTTACCAGACGCAGGCGAAGTAGCCTTTGTGGATTTATTTCAGCGCCACAGTGAATTTACGAGCCACCCCACAAAAGATCTGCAGTTTGCAGAAGCTCTGGTTCACTCACCCGCTCTGTATTGCAGGGGTTTCAAACAAAAATCCTTTTATTGGGTTTGCTGGAGCGGTTGAGCAGGGAGCTGGTCCCAGCGCAGCTGAGCCCTCGCCTCTTCTTAACTCTCCTCTGGCCAGAAGCGGGAGTTTGAAGGGTGGGACCGTTGTGACCCATTTGCCTTTAGTCTAACGTGGATGTAATGACGCAGAGCATCGCTTATTAGAAAAGAAACCTCTCTCGTTTGCCCAGTCCTCGCTGAGCTGCCTTCTGAAGCTCAGTGTAACGGAGTAAAGACCTGGTACTGCTGCCTGAGTCTGAACAGGCCTCCACTGATGAAAACTTGGGAGATGGGGAATGGTTTGGGGTTTGCTTTGAAAAGGTAAAAATAACTGGCTTGTTGAAATTGCTATAAAACCCTAACAGGAGTCACGTGTGATAACCATGTCTGTGAATATTTTGAGATACTCTTGTTTACTATAGATTTTTCTTAGTAAGACTCCTGGGATGTGATCTACTGATACAATTTGAAGGACTGGTTTTTTTTTGAAAGCACAAAGCTGTTCACAGTGATCCCAGTAAATGTAATAATACAAATTAATGCAAATAATGCAAAATAATATTATCTGAAAAAATGAGAGATAAACCACCTAGAGAACTTCAAACAAACAAATAAACAAAAATAAAAAACCTCCCACCAATGCATTTTAATGGAAAGAGACCACCTATTGGTTGTGTATTCCAGAAACAGGTAAGTCACGATCTTGTTTTTAACAATGAGAGTTTGGTGGTGACTTGGATGGGATCAAGCTATGTCTTCTTAAAGTACTTTAGTTAATACGTCTCCGTAATAGAACTGAAGGAATAATGGAAAAATGCAGTGAGGTTCTGAATGACTGTATTCTTGGGTGCTCCCACTTTGTGTTTGCTTTCCTAGCAACATTCGTACGCATGGAGATTTTTTTATTTGGATATCAAGGAAGGACTCCTGTTTCTGCAAATATCCTTATTCATTTACGAACAAAGCTCCTTGCTATTTCAGCTGGAAATGCTTTCCGCTGTTTATAACGTTCGCATCATGCAGGCAGAGAGTTGCAATCTCCTCATGCAACAGAGGTGAGCACGTGTCCACCAGAAACAGCAGATGCCCTGGACACTGTTCACAGATTGCAGTATGTGTCATAGGCTTCATAAAACAATTGGGAATGACAAAAATTGTCATAAAATTATAGTTTAGCAAGTAATTCATGAAGCTTTTTGGTTTTTTTTTTCCTTTTCTCTTTTTCAGCCCTACTTTTATTTATTCTGTGTAGTTCACTTAGGTCTAACCATGGAGGCAGCAGGTACCTGTTCCAGGTTAAAGCATTTAGGGCGAAATTGTAGTCATATACACAGGGTATCAGCACTGAACTTTCAAAATAGCTAAGTGATTCCATGTACCTTTATTTGTTTGATTTCATACCGGATCATTTTGTGGGTATCAAGAGGATCATCACTGGCAGGAACCACCTTTTCGCTGGTTATTTTTGCTCGAATCACTGTAATAGAGGAAAAGATTTAAATGCAAATAAGCAAATGCCTAATTTTACAAGCAATAGTGAAAATTATATTGATAGATTTTAGCATTGTTTTTACACCTTATCTGAAGTAGATTTTAAGGCTTGTTACTACAAGAACACTAAATTGAGTTAACTCCCGAAAAGAAAAATAAATGGGCTGCCTGTGATATAAATCTGAATTTCCATGAATCTGGAAATCTGAATTAAGTTACCACTCAGTTTTGACAAAAACTGTCCATCAAAATCTTCGGAAAACTTGAATCCCATAAAATGTTACAAAATGCCCATCATTATAATCAGTGGCAAAGGAAAGGGACACTTCTGTTGATGGCAGAAGAACTGTTGATTAATTAAGTAGACTTGAATTTTACACTCATGCCAGGCAAGATTAAAGCATCAATTTTATGCTTGAAATCAGAAGACAAGAAGAGAATAGTCTTTCATTCACTTTTCCGAGACTGTAGATTTTAGCATTTTTCTTAACATAACCCGTCATTAGTTGTGTTAACCTGTATAAATCAATTACCCCTCTTTTGGCACATTTTATTTATTTCCTGTTCGTTAAATAAACAAGGAAAGTATGAGATTTTATGAAAGAAGAAATGGTTTCTTTTCCTATCTGTTTGTTTGAGACATCTCTTTTGTACATGCTGTTTAAATATAGCAGGACTATTAGGCACAGAGAATAACGGGATTCTAAGAATCTTTCTTAGAATTTGCTAAGAAAATCACTTTCTTTTTTACTTTGTTTTTATTTTTCTTGATGACAGAAACCATTCTATCAAAATTAGTATGAATCAGGCATGACGTTTCACAGAATAAGGGAGGTTGGAAGGAGCCTCTGGAGGTCTAGTCCAACCCCTCACTGAACTTGAATCAGGATGCTCAGGGCTGTGTCCGGCTGAGTTTTGAGGATCTACACGAATGGAGATTCTGCAGCCTTCCTCAGCCCCTCTGCCAGGGTTTGGCCACTCTTCCAGTGAAATCCTCAGACTTGATGTTCACTGGGAAAAAATAAAGCTGATGCAGACTAAAATCTTTTGGCATCAAAATCATGCTTTCCCCAAAAACATTTATTTGATAGATTGACCTCTAAATATGGTATCTAAAGACAAGGAATAAGAAACCCAGACTGCGAGTTTCCTTACAGCCAGAGGTCAGCCCCATCCCATAATGGCCAGTTCTCATTTCCTCACTTATTAGCAGAGCAAACTAGATGTAATCATCAACATGATGCAGATGCCTCCAGCTTCAAAGCTTGAGCCCTCTGTCTTTTGGCACAACACTCCCTCCTCTGAAGCCATTTAAACTCTCTTAAAGGAGCAGTTTCGACTTATGGATTGCATTGGAAGAGTTCTTTTAAGTAGGAGCAGCAAATTCCTCATTTCAAATGCGAAGTGGCAGCATCTCTTTAATCCTCTGCAGATGTGTTATGTTCCCACAAATTAACAGTGCTGCTTCAGTGCTTTGATCTAATTCCAGACAAAAGTGTTGTGGATTGTGTGTGCTGCACTGCTGGAAAGGTCCAATTGGAATCATGGTGTTTTCTTTTGCGTCGCTTTCCTTTGCATCATTACTTCCTAAAAAAAAGGTTTGCTCATTAAAGAGTTCATTCCCTGTAGAAGGTAAGGAGAAAGACAACAGTGAGCTAGCTCTGTTATTTTCTTAATACCGTAACATGGTTTATAGGCAGGAAATCTCCTCCTGCCTACTCAATGCAAACATTTGTAGGATAATTAAAACTACTTTTCCCCCTGTGTTTAATGTTGAAACATCACTCATTTTATTAAATCATACGTGTTAACATCTGAGAAGAACATTACAGATGATCGATGATAGCTCAAAGGGTCTCCCTGGAGTTATGTAAGGCTGAGAGTATAATGCTTGGGGGTTCGTCATTAAGGGATCTTTTTTTGGGTGTGTAGAAGAAAATGAAAACTATTTTTATGTTGTGTGTGTTTCATTTGTTTGTTTAAGAGAAAGCTTCCAGATGGCGAAGGAAGACCAAATTGAGATTTTTATTTTATTTTTTTTTTAATGACAAGCAAGTTTCATTGTTACGGGACATCTGAGTTTTTAGTTTGGGTTTTATGTTTCTCTTCTCCTGAAACCAGATTTAAAGGCACACAGTTCTTTTGGGGCCTTTTAATCCTTCTTGGTTTTCTTTTTTCTGTGCTTCGATATTTTTTTTTTCAATCAGTGTCGTCTAGCTGTCTCCTAAAACCTCTCATTCATGTGGTTGCTTCTGTTTCTAACCACAAGCACTTCCTGACGGAGCATTCCTGGGCCCTCTCCGCTCGTGGTTCAGAGCGTGGTTAGAACTCAGGATTCCTCCCCGTCTGCACTTCTTTTCAATAAATGATTTCAAGTACAGCAGGGCTGGCTGGGTTCCTCCTCTGTGTGACGGAGAACAACCTCTGATGATCAGTGCAGTAGTGTCATTTTATCTGTCCGGCAGTTGTTGGTTCCTTCTGTGGGATCTGCGTGTATGAAATACGTATGCAGAGCATTTGTGTTCTGGTGCCAGTAATTCTGTCTGCCTCAGATTCACTCTGCATTAGCAATAGATGATGTTTTTCAAAAGCCATTCACGCTCATATTTCAGTAGCAGGATGTAGCATTTCTGCAGAGCTTCTATTTTGGCACTCATGGTACTTTTATAAAATGTAAACTCTTATCCCCACTTTGTAGCCAAAGGCTGTCTCGGAGAGCTGAACTGGAAGGGATTTACTGGGATCCAAGCCACACGGGGCTCTGGTGGAGCCCCAGGACAGAAACTGCTCTGGCAGGTATCGGCTCCCACAATTACGCATGGAGCTGCCCCTCTCTGAGCAGCTGCTGCCCCGATGGCTGGTGTCACGGCACAATGTCATCATAGGGGACAATGTTCTGTTTGGTAAATCAGCCTGGCGACGGGACATTCGTTATTAGAAATGCATTCAGAGTATTTTGATTCCTTCTTTCCTGAATAATAAACATTTCCCAACCATTTCTACATCAACACAAGGTAATTTTGAACTGGGTAAGGGACAGAACTCGTTTCGTGTAACATCAGGTATATTTCTGTTTATACAGTCAGGGGAGAAGTGTTGGGTTTTACACAACACAGAAGTGTTTATATGCAATAAGGAACCGCAGCTTTCCCAATCCTGTGTGGTTTCTCTCTGAAATCAGCTACACTAATTATTTACCTGTAAATAACCATCACCTCGCGTAGTGGAGATTTTTATGCTCATGAGGAATTCTTTATACTAGGGGCTTTTTCTACAAAAAATTCACTGCCATTACATTAATTTTACCCCACTACAGTGACATACACGATGAAATAGGACCATCTTTTTCACAGGAGAGGAGGCACAAGGAATTTGAGAAGTATACTGAAGGCCCCATGCCAGGTTGTAGATATAGATGGAACCAGAATAAAGTAAATCCTTGTGCTTTGTCCACTGAAATTCATATGTTCCCTAAATGTAATATCTTTTTAGACTCGGAGTTATTTCTAAGGCAGTAACAAAGGGAAAACTGCTTAGTGAAGAATTAGTGTAATTGTTAGACATTAATATTATTAAGTAATATATTCTTTATGATACTAAGTTATATAGTATTCTTGTACTTACACAAGTTTTAAGACGATGCTATTTAGCTTTTTTCCTTAATCTGTCGGTCACAGTACTATTGTTTGAACCAGGACAACAGGCAACTTTACTCAACAAAAGTAATCAGCTTTATTGCTCCTTCAAAAAGGAAAGCAAATTGGAGTTTACTCTCTCCAGAGGAACTTGATTATCCTAAGAAATAGGGATAAGGTGAGGGAGAAGGTAAAAACCAATGAATAAATGAGATTTTTTTTTTTCCCCAGAATCTGTTACATATCAGCAACTATATAATGAAAAATACTTAATAAAATATTTAAGATATTACTGGACATAAGAACAAGAAATTGTAATTGCTTACGTGCATCCTTATTTTAAATATATAAATGTTAAAAAATATGAGTAAAAATAAAAATACTGCTAAGAAGTGTATAAATTTTAAAGATGGACAGATAGTGAGGCAGACACCTGGACCTTTGAAAACCTCTTTTGTCATCTCTCTTTGGACTCTAAAAACGCTCGAGCTACATCCTGAACAAAGAATCAAGTGTGTTAAGATCACAGTACTATGAGAAATACAGGACTACTACTAAACTGTTGCTTTATTTCAGTTGGGTTTAGTTCAGTATTTTTGTTTCTGTGGTATGATTTCTATCAGCAGAAAAGTACCTCGCTGTCTTCTAGAATGAAGAGATTTATAGATGATTATCATGATGTACGCATCCAGTTTGAAATAGTAGCTGCGCCACAGTTCTCGTTGTATCAGTGATAAGCTGTGTAATACCTACGATTTGTAAATGCATGTATTTTTGGTTAGGATTTGCAGCTTAAGGCGAAACTCCATCACTGATGAGCTCCAGCCCTTCAGCCATAGGTAGGTTAATGAGCAGAAGGGCAAGGCTCTCCAGGCTGGGATGCCTTAGCTGCTGTTGGTAAGAATAAGGGCTAAACCCTGTCCCTCAGCCTTGCGAGAGGTTCTGAGGTCCATGAACACAGATGTGTGGTTGTGGATGCAGAGGAAGCCCCGTTCCTGGGTCTGTGCCAGCTGTCTGTGTTCCTGGTTTGCACCGGGGTTTATCTCATTTTATGCACCTCTAAGGCCACTGGCAAATTTTAGAAACGGTGCCTCCATTGGTGAGACTGCACCAAAAATAAGCAGCTCCCTAAACTGCAAATGGAAGTCTCTGATTCTGCTCCATCCTTTCTGCGGAGCATTCCTTGCTGCTTGGGGTAGGCCAGTCCTCATTTGGAAAACAAGCAGTGAGTCCTGGCATGTCCAGATCATTTTTACATTTGAGATCAAAACTAGGAGTAGCAACATCCTTCACACAGGCATCTTGAGGCAGAACCTGTGTTTCAGCTGGAGCCTCCAGTTTGCTTTAGGCT